GGCAGGTCCTTCTCAAACCCAGCCGTTCTCACTAGTAGAGGTTGTCGAAGTAGATGGTCTGTACCAAGATACCCTTGTGTTGCAGTGTCTGACAGAATGAACATTAAAATGGTATAAAATACCGACAGATTGTTAGGTAAGACACATATGCAACAGTTAGGTATCTTTATTTTGAAACGTTTCGCCTACACAGTAGGCTTCTAGAAGCCTACTGTGTAGGCGAAACGTTTCAAAATAAAGATACCTAACTGTTGCATATGTGTCTTACCTAACAATCTGTCGGTATTTTATACCATTTTAATGTTCATTCTGTCAGACACTGCAACACAAGGGTATCTTGGTACAGACCATCTACTTCGACAACCTCTACTAGTGAGAACGGCTGGGTTTGAGAAGGACCTGCCCTCCCAAATCAACCTACGTCTCACCTCCTGGCACTATATAAGGCCCGATTCTGTCACTTCAACTTCATATTGTTTCAGACAACGGAACAATGCTCTTCTCCAGACTGAGGGACTGACCACCTCAAAACTTTAAGGGTGATGGACTGATTACATCGTCTTCAAGTATCTTCTGCTTCTATCAACTTTTCTGTACTCGACTGAAGAAGCCTACTGTGTAGGCGAAACGTTTCAAAATAAAGATACCTAACTGTTGCATATGTGTCTTACCTAACAATCTGTCGGTATTTTATACCATTTTAATGTTCATTCTGTCAGACACTGCAACACAAGGGTATCTTGGTACAGACCATCTACTTCGACAACCTCTACTAGTGAGAACGGCTGGGTTTGAGAAGGACCTGCCCTCCCAAATCAACCTACGTCTCACCTCCTGGCACTATATAAGGCCCGATTCTGTCACTTCAACTTCATATTGTTTCAGACAACGGAACAATGCTCTTCTCCAGACTGAGGGACTGACCACCTCAAAACTTTAAGGGTGATGGACTGATTACATCGTCTTCAAGTATCTCCTGCTTCTATCAACTTTTCTGTACTCGACTGAAGAAGCCTACTGTGTAGGCTAAACGTTTCAAAATAAAGATACCTAACTGTTGCATATGTGTCTTACCTAACAATCTGTCGGTATTTTATACCATTTTAATGTTCATTCTGTCAGACACTGCAACACAAGGGTATCTTGGTACAGACCATCTACTTCGACAACCTCTACTAGTGAGAACGGCTGGGTTTGAGAAGGACCTGCCCTCCCAAATCAACCTACGTCTCACCTCCTGGCACTATATAAGGCCCGATTCTGTCACTTCAACTTCATATTGTTTCAGACAACGGAACAATGCTCTTCTCCAGACTGAGGGACTGACCACCTCAAAACTTTAAGGGTGATGGACTGATTACATCGTCTTCAAGTATCTTCTGCTTCTATCAACTTTTCTGTACTCGACTGTAGAAGCCTACTGTGTAGGCGAAACGTTTCAAAATAAAGATACCTAACTGTTGCATATGTGTCTTACCTAACAATCTGTCGGTATTTTATACCATTTTAATGTTCATTCTGTCAGACACTGCAACACAAGGGTATCTTGGTACAGACCATCTACTTCGACAACCTCTACTAGTGAGAACGGCTGGGTTTGAGAAGGACCTGCCCTCCCAAATCAACCTACGTCTCACCTCCTGGCACTATATAAGGCCCGATTCTGTCACTTCAACTTCATATTGTTTCAGACAACGGAACAATGCTCTTCTCCAGACTGAGGGACTGACCACCTCAAAACTTTAAGGGTGATGGACTGATTACATCGTCTTCAAGTATCTTCTGCTTCTATCAACTTTTCTGTACTCGACTGAAGAAGCCTACTGTGTAGGCGAAACGTTTCAAAATAAAGATACCTAACTGTTGCATATGTGTCTTACCTAACAAACTGTAAGAATGGTTACTTACGTTTATACATGGCTGCAATCATGAACAAATTTTAGAGTAATGAGCAATTCACACTTCCACACCCGGTCACAACTGTAGTGAGTTATTGGTGCAAATGTTGATTGCTGAGTCTAAGGGGTGATACGAGGATAAAAGCGTTGGCGGCTAGATTCTATAGAACAAAGTGTAGGAATATGCTGGTTTATGGGGCGTCCTGGGAAAAAAGTTTCCCGGAAGGTTATAGGAACCTCACTGTGGGTTCCCTTTATCAGGGTACCTGAGGATGGGCAAAGGGGTGGTCTCCTTCTGGGGGGATGTAAAGGGGGGTGGGGTTTTTTGTTTGACGCTGGATTTTTTGTGGTGTTTAAGAGGAAGGTAGTGGCAGTTTGGTATGGATGGTAAGCTCTGTTTCACGGGAATGTTTGTCACAGTGAGATATAAGAGTAGCTTACAAGGTTAACTTTTCTAAACCTAATGGTTATGTTCACTGTGCAAGAAATCTTCCTTGATAGCCAGGATACCGAGCCCTTAGGATCTCGGGTTTAAGTAATCAGATATGGTAAGTTGGTTTCAACAAATTTTTCTGAGGTACATTTGGGACCGGCAAGATACAGCGGCCCTTATACTTACTACTTGTCTTGTATTATGTTTAACTTTTATTGTTCGCTGGAGGTTCTGTGTGGTAATTCTTAAGAGTATGATAGGTCTCGGGTCTATACCATGTTTATTATGGGGTTTATACCTAAAATTTTTGTGGACAAGAGTTTCGGTTTATATACATGTGGGAGGTTTAATTTCTGTGTAGGGTTTGGTATTTAAACCCTTTTGATGTGCTGAGTTTTATAATGTTGTGAAAGCTTGTATTGGGGTTTATTTTATTTTATTATTGGATGTTACATGTATGTTGCTCTGTTTTCAGCACAAGAATGATTGTACTTGATGGTTTAACATAATAATAATATTAAAATACTGTTTTTCCATGGTTATTGTGTATAAGGAATCATACGTTCCTTCAGAATTCCTATTGGTTAGGCTATAATGTAACACAACTTTAGCCAATACTCTGTACCCTGTCATAGCGGGTATGTTCGGGTTTTGTGTCTGTTTTATAGTTGTTATGGTAGCTTTAGTATGGGTCTTTTACTTTACTGACATGATTTGTGTTGTATATATATTGTGTGTTAAAGGTGGTTATGGCTTTAGTCATGTGTTACAACTTTACCTTTAATAACCTTGTGATGTTGTGCATTGTATGTTGTTTATTGTTGTAATAGGTTATGACAAACACTCCTTTTTATTTTAACCCATGTAAAATTTTCTTTTGGTGTTTCTTTGGTCACATTTTGCGTGGCGGTACATATAAATGATTAATACTTAGTGAGTCTTATTTTAGCGTGTACTGTTTGATATAACAGGATGCTGTTATAATACTTGTTACTTCCAGGAGTAACCTGGTACTAGTAGCGTAAAAGATTGTTTTTTTTTGTATTCATGTACTCTAATTATGCATCATTTGTACTTTTGTAAGGTTTCTTAAATAAAATATAAAAAAAAATGTTTAATATGCACCCCATACCCATCTTGTGGGCGGTAGTCAAAAGATTAGAGGTACATAATTGGCCTAGGGACTGGACTCCAAAGTTTTGATAGCTGAGCAAGTTACAGAGGTAATGACGTGTTTACAGTAGGCAAAGTTAGTGTTTTTGTCTAAATTCTTTAGTAATATATCATAGTTAAAAAGTTCGGATCATCTGTTATATCTCAATTATATCAATGTTTACCCCTGACCACTTACCTGGAAGGTGTTTCGGGGGTCAACGCCCCTGCGGCCCGGTCCATGACCAGGTCTCGCGGTGGATTAGAGCCTCATCAACAAAATTATGTTCAGTTTCCCAAGCACCATTCTGGTTTTGGTTCCTAACTTCGACAAGATTCGCAGCAAGATATTCTGGACACTGCTTCTGAACAATTATATAGATTTAACTTCAGATGCCAATTTACTTTATTTGTAACATTCCGCATATCCAGTTATCGTAAGTCGTCCTGGCCTACATGCTCTTTTGGACCCAGGTTTAGGATGTATCTCTCAATAATTTTATCTTTCAGGTTTTATATTAGATCAGAGTACCATGAAGAATAAGAATAACCTATATGACTTTGTGTAAGAACCCGACTTAGTACTACGAGCCTCAGTAGGTGGACGCTGTCTACAGAGAAACTTTAATTATTCTGGCATTCGTTTGGTTTTTAATACGGCCCTGGTGGAGAGCATTTGATCAAATACCCAGAATTTTTGCATGATAGTACAATAAATCTTCATTTTTTTATTTAATAAATTTTAATAAAAACTCAGTTTTAAGGAGCTATAGGTATTGTTCATGACTTGGAATTTACCAAGATGATCTTAAAAAATACCAAGTGACTAGATGAGTTTAGTATGGTAGGATAGTAATGACCTTTCACAATTATAATCATGGGGAGCGCTAAACCCGTAGGATTATACAGCGTATGTGGGGAGGAAGAGATGGAAGGAATTCAGGTTCAATTCAGGGAACTGGAGCACAGATCCAATTCCCTAGATCAAGAGCCCCTCACCAGCGTCAAAGAACCTCCCTTAAGGGGACAATTATTAACAGGGGATGCAGCTCACCATTGTACTTCAGTGATGCTGACCCCAGGGTGAGGCTTTGAGTGGGGAGGTGCTTTGACATTATTCCAACAGTCCTCTAGCTGTCTTCAAGGAGCTGGACAGGCACCTGAAGTTAGTACCTGACCAGCCGGGATGTGGTTCATACGTTGGATTACGTGTGAACAGCATTAACAGCCTGGTTGATCAGGCCCTGATAGACCACGAGGCCTGGTCAAAGACTAGGCCTCCAGGGAGGTGGCCCTCGGAACGACCTCCAGGTAAGTGTATTCAGGTATACACAAATACAGTTACATAGATTATCATACACAGCAGCATATGTCTAGAGAACCTGGGATAACCCAAAAAAGTCAGAGTGACTTATTTCCATTGGGGTCCTAGTTAATGTATATGCACAAACAAAATTTAAAAAAAAAAAATATACATTACACAGTACAAATAGTTGAAAAGGTTATAGTATGCGCACCATCACTGTGAAAGTAGAACAATGGAGTTTCAGGTAACGGAGCGCAAGTTCTGTCATATCTTGTTACGTTCCTCACAATCTTTAATATGAAAGAAAGCTCTGTTATAGCTGAAGTGGCCAGTGTTCGAACACCCTCTCTCTACACGAGTTTGATGTGCAGATATCTTTTTGTATATTAATTGGCAACTTGTCCTTATAAATTAGTAATTTGTTGTTATTAAATTTGTATAAAGTTAGCTGCAGTGTTAATTTTTGAGAAGCAAGGTTACTAACAAATATGGCAGAAATTAAGACACTATGTGCAGGGTAAAACTTTATTTATAGACTACATCTTTCTCTAAACTGAGCTATATTAAACTCCCCATGAAGCTCTGTTTGTAAATAAAGATAACTCTGCCAGTAGTGTGTTTCTAGCACACAAAGTTTAGCTTTGAATATGAACCCGTCAAGGGAGGTTCCTTGAAGCTGGTGAAGGGCTCTTGATCTAGGGAACCGGATCTGTTCTCCGGTTCCCTGAATTGAGCCTGAATATCTTCCACCCCCACGTGCGCTTTATAATCCTACGGGTTTAGCACTCCCCATGATTATAATAATTATAATTTGAATATGAACATGAGATGGGGAAGTTGGTAGCCAGAGAGAGAGGTGAGGGTATCGGACACTGTGATATCAACATTAGACAACAAACATGGCGGCTGTGGCTGTTGAACGTCCTCCTGTAAGTTTTTTTTTTTTTTAAATATCTTAGTATTTTATCGGCCTATTATGACGATTTAAGGACAATTATTGACTATCTTGGCTTATATTTTATAAATGCTGCATACAATATTGAATTGGTTTTGGAATAAAGTAAGGAAATGTGTAACTACCTAATGGGTGTGACCCAATACAGGATGTGATGAAACTGACCAAATTTAGGTTAGGATTATTTTCAGGCTCATTCATAAAGAACAACCGAAATATACAAAAAGTAATATGGTCACGAGTTTGTATGTTCATGTTACTCTTTATAGAACTGTTCTACCTTATAATAATAATAATAATAATAATAATATCTTTATTTACTACAAGTACATGTACAAGGTATACAGTCCTAGCTGACAACAATGACATACTACTATATAGAAACTCCCTTGTTGTGCTCTGTATTTCGGGCAAATTAGGTCAGTGTCCCGGGATGCGACCCACACCAGTCCACTAACACCCAGGTACCCATTTTACTGATGGGGAACATAGACAACAGGTGGAAAGAAACACGTCCAATGTTTCTACTCTGGCTGGGAATCGAACCCAGGCCCTCGCCGTGTGAAGCGAGAGAGTTAGCCACCAGGCCACCAGAGCCTTTTATATACAACCTTCGGTTGTATATAAAAGATGGTATTAACCCCCAGAGGACTAATAACCAGGATAGCCCAAGAATGCCAAGTAAATCAAATAATTATTTATAAAAGCATTACAGACATAGGTGGCACATAGAGGAGGGTATACAAAGTAACATTTTTCAAACCTAGTATTATGTTCAGCATTTCAGGAAATGTGGGTAGAAAAACTCGGAACTCATCAAAGGTATATTATAGATATATTTCCTGTGGAGCCCTTAGGTCCTTCCACAGGATGCTACCAACAACAGCAAACTAACTCCTAGACATCTTGACTGTTAAGTGACAGGCACAGCATGTGTTTTTAGACTTTTCTTCCATCTTACTTTTCCTGGGATTGAGACCAGGTCCTTTCTGTTGTGAACCAAATGAGTTACGAGGTATATACTACGTCTCTCTGCCCTGGTCGTCATTATTGTATTCTGTATTTTTTAAGATTTTCCTCATGTACTGCCCCTCAAGGGAGGTTCCTTGATGCTGATGAGGGGCTTTTGATCTAGGGAATTGGATCTGTGCTCCAGTTCCCTGAATTGAGCCTGAATACCTTCCATCCCCCCTCCATGTGTGCTGTGTAATCCTACGGGTGTAGCACTCCCCTACGATTGTAATAATAATCCTCATATATTGGTTTGATAGGGTGACTGGATACCAAACCCATTATGTACATTAATTAATAATATAATTATTATTTTAGTCATTGAGCCACTGAATATATATTGTGTTTTGGGAAGGCTGAAGGCATTGAACTGGCAGCTAGTTGCTCTAGTGTAAACAGCTGTTGAACCAGCAGCCATTCAAGGTCACTATGTTGCTGTAAATGTTGAAGCCTTTTTTTTTTTCAATTTTCTTACGGTATATGTGGTTAAATAAAAAAATTTAGCCAATACTACTGTTGTCATTCAGAATAAGTAAGTGGTACTTTACTATGAATGCCACTCTCATCCTGTGGGTGGTAGTAAAAGAATTACAGAGGATCATAATGGGTCCAGGGACTGGTCCCCCACCAAACACATGGGTGGCTTGTATAGGGTAAGATACTACAGTGCTATACACACCATAAATTTCTTGCAATACTGTATATGGATCAAGGATTGTTGTTTTATAATGAAAATGTGGACACTTGCATGTGTATTTGGATGAAATAGTAATGGAATACATTGTAGTTAATTCTAGCTTATAAATATAAAACACTGTGACTCCTGGGATACTACAGTGTTCCATGTCTCAATTTATGTTGTGAATGTAGCCACTGTCTGTACTGTTGACCTGAAAATTTTGTTGGGGAATGTACATTCTGTCTCACAAACCTGTATTTTATGGAATTTTGCATAATTAAATTTTCTGCACTTGCAGGGATTTTCCTTACAGGATAGGTTTGCAACATTAAGTAGTGTGGCTCAGTTGAAATGTTTTCTGTCATACATGTGATTCACATACAGTACTGTATTGCCTTGGAGGCAAAGAGGGGAATGTATGAGAGTATAGTTTTACCAACGCTCTTACATGGGTGTGAAGCATGGGTAATGAATGTTGCAGCGAGGAGAAGGCTGGAGGCAGTGGAGATGTCATGTCTGAGGGCAATGTGTGGTGTGAATATAATGCAGAGAATTCGTAGTTTGGAAGTTAGGAGGAGGTGCAGGATTACCAAAACTTTTGTCTAGAGGGCTGAGGAAGGGTTGTTGAGGTGGTTCGGACATGTGGAGAGAATGGAGCGAAACAGAATGACATCAAGAGTGTATCAGTCTGTAGTGGAAGGAAGGTGGGGTAGGGGTTGGCCTAGGAAAGGTTGGAGGGAGGGGATAAAGGAGATTTTGTGTGCGAGGGGCTTGGACTTCCAGCAGGCATGCGTGAGCGTGTTTGATAGGAGTGAATGGAGACAAATGGTTTTTAATACTTGACGTGCTGTTGGAGTGTGAGCAACGTAACATTTATGAAGGGATTCAGGGAAACTGGCAGGCCGGACTCGAGTCCTGGAGATGGGAAGTACAGTGCCTGCACTCTGAAGGAGGGGTGTTAATGGCAAGACAGTGATGGAGTGAATGATGGTGAAAGTTTTTCTTTTTCAGGCCACCCTGCCTTGGTGGGAATCGGCCAGTGTGTTAATAAAAAAATAAAAAAATATATATATATACACCTACCATCCGACTTACGACCTGCTCGACTTACGACCGTGTTTTTTTTTTGCCAAATTTCTGGGAAATAAACAACTATTTGTATTGTACACAGTGTTTATCCTAAACCTTACAGTATAAAATACAGTACTAACAGCATAAAAAGTAAAGTAAAACATGAAATACCAAAATAAAACAATAAAATAAAGTCCTTACAAAAATGTGATGTTGATATTCAGTAGTAAAGTTCGACTTACGTCCATTTCGACTTACGACCGGTTTCTCGGAACCGAACTCGGTCGTAAGTTGGATGGTAGGTGATATATATATATATATATATATATATATATATATATATATATATATATATATATATATACAGTGGACCCCCGCATAACGATGGCATCGCATAGCGATTTTTCCGCATAACGATTACTTTTATCGCAAAATTTTTGCCCCGCATACCGATTAAAAACCCGCATACCGATTTTCGTCCGAGACGCGTCCAATGTGCCCTCACATGTGCCGGCCGTCCCATTGTTTACCAGCCAGCCTCCGCGTAACATCCAAGCATACACTCGGAATATTTCGTATTATTACAGTGTTTTCGGTGGTGTTTCTGGAAAATAAGTGACCATGGGCCCCAAGAAAGCTTCTAGTGCCAACCCTGTGGTAAAAAGGGTGAGAATTAGTATGGAAATTAAGAAAGATTTTGAAGGGTTTGGGGCTAACCCTGAGATGCCTATGCCAGTTGTGGAATCCATTGTGCCTACTTCAAAGATTAAGGAAATGTGTGCAGAGTGGTTTGAACTGCAAACCATTTATAGATGAAAATCACCCTGACACAGCTGTTGCAAGCCGTGCTTGTGACTATTTCAATGACAATGTTATGGCCCATTTTAGGAAAGTCTTGAAGAAACGGGAGGTACAGAGCTCTATGGACAGATTTGTTGTGCGACAGAGGTCCAGTGACTCTGAAGCTGGTCCTAGTGGCATTAAAAGAAGAAGGGAAGTAACCCCAGAAAAGGACTTGCTACCTCAAGTCCTAATGGAAGGGGATTCCCCTTCTAAACAGTAAGAAGATAATGCTCTCCCCTCCTCCCATCCCATCAATCATCACCAGATCTTCAATAAAAGTAAGTGTCATGTAATTGTGCATGCCTTTTTCAGTTTGTGTGTATTAAAATTAACATTTCATGTGGTAAAAAAAATTTTTTTTCATACTTTTGGCGTCTTGCACGGATTAATTTTATTTCCATTATTTCTTATGGGGAAAATTAATTCGCATAACGATTATTTCGCATAACGATGAGCCCTCTTGCACGGATTAAAATCGTTAACCGGGGGTCCACTGTATATATATATATATATATATATATATATATATATATATATATATATATATATATATACACACATATACACATATACACACACACACACATATACACACATATACACACACACACACACACACACACACACACACACATATACACACACACACACATATACACACACACACATATACACACACACACACATATACACACACACACACACACACATATACACACACACACACACATATACACACACACACACACATACACACACACACACACATATACACACACACACACATATACACACACACACACACACACAGGGGCAGGGGCAGAGACCAGAGAAGACACAGCATATGAAGCTGCGAGGCTGAACAGGAGGGAAGGAATTATGAATTATGCTAAGGCCACATCAATCTGCCAAGGAGGACCAAGGAGTGAAAGGGAAGATCAACTGGTTGCAGATGGAGAGGGTGATAGGTCGAATGCTGAGGCACAACAAGGCTATCAAGAGCCACTGGAAAAATCAAGGGAGAAACTGACCACACACAGGCAGGATCCAGAGCCACAGAGGGTGAGGCAATGCGAGGAAGAAAGGGCAAAATCAGTGTTTATCCATGGGCTTCAGGAGAGAGAGGAAAGGACACACACTGAAAGGAAGCAGGAAGAAAGGAAGGAGATTGAGAAAATCATAACAGAAATAGGTGAAGAGAGGGACGAGATTGTAAATTTTCAGAGAATAGGGGGGTACTCGAAGGTGAGAAACCGACCAATCAAGCTGATTCTCAGGACGGAAACAGTGCGGAACAGGATCCTCCAAGAGAAACCACGATTGAAATACTCGGAAGAGTACAAGAGGGTGTTCCTAGACAGAGACAGAAC